TTTTTTTTTTACAATGTTTTCAATAAAACTACATTAACTTCAAATCATGAAAGAGATGTGTTTCGTATTTTGCAGTTTGAAGATGGTTACATAACCATGAGGAGCCTGAATGCATTCCATGTTTTTAGAAGCCTGTGAGTTTTTCACCTTGATTAGCCTTTTTCAAAAACTGCTCCCCAGTGGGCCTGCCAACACAGTAGTGTCAATGTTGAGATAAAATGCACTGAATTCACCTGCAAGCTCCATGAACAGGGTGGTGACATGCTGAACACCCAGAGGAATGAAGCCAAACCAGCACTGAGCACTTAGCAGCTCCTCAAGGCAGCAGAGGTTGTAGGAATATGTTTGCCCACACTCCCTCCAGCCCAGCAATACTCCAGCCCACTTTTCCATGGAAAACTCCCTCTCAGTGTAACACGGTGGTGTTTGTACCACTTAACCAGTGGTTTGTCTTAGGTCTCTTCTGCCTTCACTCAGAGCCAGGATTAAAAAACACACGAAGGAAACAAATTTTCTTGTGTTCGGGCTTGGTTGTTTATTAAATCTTATCAAAAAGTACAGATAGTTCAGCAGCACTTCTGGCTACCAGCTGGAAACAAGCAAAATGGAGAGAAATCCAGCTGCTACAAGGTCTCTTCAAGCTAAACAGTCCAATAGAGAATTATCACCTTTATTTATACTTTTAACCCAATAACCAAATTCCCATGACCCTCAGTGCAGCACTAACTTTCCAACTAAACAACTGGTACCTGAAAGTATGAAGAAGAAGGAAGATGAACACTGAGACACCACCCAAAATCCTCCATCTTGTCCCATACCCATTACTATATTATAAAAACCACAAATTCCAAACCCTTCACCATGTGAAATCACAACTTCTATTTAACTACACACCCATGATTTTAACTCCATCACTCACATTTGGAGCCTTCTCCAAGGCCCCAGGTCAAAAGCAGTGTTCTGCAGGGGGTCAGTGCCAGAAAGCACAGAAAGCTCAAACCCCCAGTTTTTTGGGCTCCAGCAGTTTTTTGGGCTCCCGTGGCTGTTGTGAGGAGCAGAGCCCCGTGCTGCCTCCAACACCTCCACACCCTCGAGCCGTGCAGGGGCTGCAGACACTGTGTGTGAATCCACCAGCCTCCCACATCCCTGCTCCTCCTGGCACTGATAACAGCCCTGAGGAAGGACCTTGGGAGACAAGGCACAGATTTATTTGGTCTTTCAGCTGCGAGAGGCTGCTGTGTGATCTTTGATAAACTCGGGGATGCAAGTTTGCAGAAGTCCCTGCCAGCAGCTGACACAGATGCTGCCTGGCACGGCACCAGGGAGCTGTGACACTCATTTGATCATATGTTTAGCCACATGTCCCTCACATACTGATAGGCACAGCAATAGCCCCTGGGCCTGCCCTCACAAAGCACGAGCAGCTGAATTTCTGTGCTGCACGCAAGGTTTAGAAATGATGGCACAACATTTTTCAAAGGCCTCTCTGTGTGCTGTAGGAACTTTCCAAGTGTTGCTGGCACCCAAGACATGGAGCTTATAGAACAGGCTTTGTCTTGCTGTGAAAGAAATCATCTTGTCAAGTCTGCACTTTGGGACTCCCTAGCCCAGATCTGCCCCACAGCTTTTCTTCCTGCTTGGCCAAACATTTTTTTACCCAGGCAGCCTTCAAGCCCTCCTGGCTGAGAGCTCTCGGCCCAAAGCAGCCCCATCACAGTGTTCCTTCAGTCCCATGGCATGAACACAAGACAGCAGTGACCTTGTGGGTTCAGAGGGACTTCTCCCATGTCCCCAAGAGTGGTGGCACTGGCTGCACTGGGCTCTGTGACTCCACTCTGTTAAACTTTGGCCCCTCATTGCTTTAACTCTGTCTTTAACTATCCACCTCCCATGTCTTTTTGCAGCCACAGCCCAGCCCAGCACTGTGCCAGCAGGGCTGGAGCTGGGGAAGAGCCCCAGGAGTGTTCAGGGTTGTAGCTCTGCTTTGCCCAGCCCTGGCACCATGTTCTCCCAGAGCAAACACGTGCCTCTGTATCAATTGCATGACCAGCTTCATTTTGTACTGCTTATGAATTATTGCTGGCCCCTGTGGCTCTGTCAGCACTTCCCCCTGTCTCACAGAGACATTGATTCATACACCCATGAATGTTCCCAGCTTAATTAAACTCCTGCTCCCTTCCTGACGTTCTTCTTTGTGTGCACAGAGGTGGCTGATCAGCTTTGGCTGGGCTGGGGATGTGCCCACCTTCCCTGCTCTGTGCCTCCTCTGTGCTCAGACCCCATCAGATTTCAAAAGTCTCCACTCCACGCTGAAATGGATCCATCATTTTTATTGCTCTGCAGTTCAGTGTGCTAAATTCTGTTCCCCTTGGCTCTCTTGTCCACCCAAGCCCAGGGACTGTGTATGGCCCTGTTGTCCAGGCTCCAGCCACACTGGCCTTTCATCCCTGGATAGGATTATTCTCCAGCTCTCTTCTAGCAGCCGTAAAAAGCAGTATATCACCAGCAAACTTGAGATCAAAACTGACAAGCAAGCTTTTTAGATGAGCCTGTTCTGCTGTATGTAATTAATGTGTCTTGTTTTCTTCATTTATATTTTATTTATATGCTTTTATGTATTGTGAGAACCTCGGAGAGGGTTTTCTTTTTATGAATTACGCTTTGTAAAACAGGAGAACTGATGTTGATGAAATAGTTATTATCAGCTAAAGGCTGCACTCCCAGACTGTGCCTCCCTTCCAACTGGCAATCTGTCACTCTTCCAAACGTGACCAACAGACAGACAGCCAGGCAGCTCCCAGGAAGGAGCCAGGAGGAGGAGGAGACAGCAGGGACTGTGATGAAGGCGATTAAAAATAGAGAAAGATTCCTTCACCACAAATCACAGCGAGAAGCTTCAGAGAGGAAAATAGCGAACCTAAAAGATATTGCCTAAGGGGGCTTTTACTGATTTTAGACTGTGTTGCTCAGATCAGTTCACTCCAGTGAGTGTCTGTACCAGTTTTTTTAGGATGGAAGAAATAATTGCCAGCATGGGGGCTGGAGGGAGGATTTTTTATTTTTAATTTCGTTTCCCTAAAAAGTCTTTCTTCATTTTAATCTTGGAAGCAGGAGTGTTTCTGAGGGAGAAGCTGATTGAAAATGGATCATTTAGAGCTTAGCTCCCATCTTTGTGTTGATTAAGTGTTTGCCAAGCTACTGGTCCAAAGGGAATTTCGCTGTTTTTTTATAATAAATCCCTGAAAAACAAATTTCACTGGGACTGCTGAGATGGCAATCAAAGCTTGAGTGCTGGAATCAGGGAGTAGGAGCACAGGGTCTCCTCAATTATTCACTCAAAGAAAACAGGAAACAACTCTACTAGTTCAGCAGCATCCTTCCTGCTCAGTGTGAGGATTAACTGGGACAAATGTTCTCCCAGTCAAAAATAAGGAATGCAAGAGGAATCCCTGCCCACCTTGGTGCTGGGGAGCAAGGATTGAGGCTGGGCTGTGCTAGGGGTGGGGTCTGGAGCCTTTGTGGGGAGAGTACAATGAAAAGGGTGGGTTCTGCCCACCCTCCACAAGAATTCCTGAAGTTCTCCATAGGATCAGAGAATCCCAGAGTGGTTTGGGTGGGGAGGGACTTTAAAAACCGTCTAGTCCAACCTCCCCATCTCCCACTGCCCCAGGTTTCTCCAAGCCCTGTCCTTGAACACTCCCAGGGATGGAGCATCCATGAGCAGCCCAAAGTGTCCAGAGGTGCAGCCAAGCTGTCCCAAAGCACTGGGGCAGCCCAAGGCAGGGAAATGGTGAGAGATCTCTGAAACAGCCCAGGGAAGATGTGTGTGCTGTGACTGAGGCTCAGATTTTGGCACAGTTTGATTATTTGGAACACTTTACCGCATGTCTTCTGATGAGGCTCCTCACGAGCCATTTGGATCCTCTGATAAGCCCCTGCAAGGCCTCCCTGTCACCATCACTGGCCTGAATAATGTTTTAAATGTCACTGCTGAGACAGGAAATGCAGCTGTTTTGATACTCTTGCTTCTGTCCTGATGATTCACGTTGACATTTACATGACCAAGCAGAGGGGGGAAGCTGCTGAACACATCACTGAGTCTGTGGAAATCCTCAGAGTAACAGGATTCAGAGCAGCAGAGCACCCAGAACTCCCAGGAAAAACCCTCACAAAGGCAGGAGAGCTTGAGCAGGCTGTAGAGAGTTACATCCCCTCCCAGCTCTCTGGAGGATGAGCTCCATGCCCATCCTGAACTCCCCATTTTGGAGGATGCTGAGTGCAGGTACCCAGTGTCCAGGACCATGAACACCAAGCTGTTAATGGGGTGTGAAAGATCATAGAAGGAGTCTCAGCCTGTGGGATGTCATTTTCCCTTTTCAGACGTTTTTCACTTGTTTTAGGACTGTACATGGAGGCAGGTAACACCACTGCATGGACATCTCTTCAAGAGGCAGAGTCAGGGTGGTTAACTCATCACGTGGAGCTTGCTGAGAAATAGTCCAGCCTCACCATTCCCATTACATAAAGTTTCCATTGTAAAACAAATGATTTTCTATCTCCACTGCAGCTCATGGGCGCTGATGGAAAAACCTGCAGCTCATGATGAACCCTTTATAAAGATGGTGAAGCAGAGTCACAAACCCCACATTTCCAGGTTGTGACAGAGCCAGGGGAGGGACAAGGCTCTGCAGATCCCTGCCCTGAAGGCCATGGCCTCCTGCTGCAAGCTGGGCCCTTGTCCTTGGTGCCAGTGCTGGCCATCCCCTTGTTTTGAGGATGTTCCTGCAGTGTTTGCCTGGCTTCCTGCATGTAACCTCTCTGATGCTATTTTGGGTAGTTGCTGTGGGATGGGTTATTCCCACAGGCTTTACAACATCAGCAAAGCCTCTAATCAACCCAAATTGCCAACATCTTGGTGGAATTCTGTGCTGTGTCAGTCAGGACACGTAAACACACAAGGATTTCACATTGCTTAAGTTGTGTGTGCACTGGAGAATACAGCCCAAGGATCTCCACACTTAGAAACTTCTCAAAACTTGACTGGATATGACCATGAGCAACTTCACCCAACTTTCAGGTGGGTCCTGCTCTGAGCTGGGAGTGAGACACAAAACTTTCAGGAAGCCTTTCCAAACTAGATTATTTTGTAACACCTATTTGAGGTGACCCACAAACGAGTTATAGGTGGGAAAAGGGATCCAGGTTGGTTCCGAATATCTTTTAGGGAATATTGTTGGAAATTGATGGGCTTTCTACTCATGTCTCTGGGAGAATGTGTTCTTGTGACAAATCCTACTGTGCACTGTTCACTGCCTTTCCAATGAATTATTGGTAATGTTCCTAGGTTCCAGCACAAACTGAAGGAATGGTGGCAAAACCAGCCCTGCCAGAAAACAGAACAGAAAGAGACTCTACAACTGCTGCTGATGCCTTGGAGTGGCTACCTAGAACAGAGGCTATACAAGATCAGGAGAATAAAAAGTGGATATTGATTAAAGGCTTTCAAACAGGTACATTCCGGGCAGCCAAAAGCCTCCAAAGGGCTACACCCAAGCTGGATGATGGCCACGAGTTTTTCAGACAATTATAAATTTGGTCCATTTACATATTAGGGGTTAATCCTCCAATTACAGCTTCAGGTAATGAAATCAGATACCCCCCGTTTGCTTTCCTCCATCTCACTTCTGTTTATTCTTTTCAGGGCCTGAGGCAGAAGTGTCCTTGAATTTCAGGCCTGCAGGGATTGTTGTGTCTGACCAAAATGTGAAGACAGTCGCTAACACTCTCCGTGGAGTTTAGAGTTATGCAATAATGCAGTACAGGATCTGAAAAACATAAAAGCTAAATTTCTAAGGCATCACTACCAGCAATGAGGGAACCATCCCTGCACTGGCACCTCTGGTTGCTGCCCAGCTGATTGTGTGACACAGATGCAGCTGTCCCCACAGCTGCCTCTGGGACTCTAGGGCTAACAATCACTCGAGGGTGTTGTGCTCCTGCTTTTCCATGCCCACATCTGTCACACATCTGTGTGCGCAGTGCCTAATTTCACATGTATGTGGGTACAGAATCCTGGGCTTCTGCTGCTCAGAAAATGAAGGTGCTCAGGGAGAGAGGGGTGAGCTCATGCAGCCCCCAGGAAAGCCCGATGTTCAAAGGATTTATGGAAGTAGATTCACGAGAAGGTTTCAAGCAGCTCCAATAGCATTTTGGGCATAGTTTCTCAAAAGCCTAAAATTCCTTGCATTTCCCCCACGTGCTTGCTGAGCTTGAGGCTGAGGGTGCAGTGCAGACTCAGAGCCCAGCTGGAGGCCCTGGGGCTGCCTCCTCCTCCTCTCAGCATGGAAACATCCGCATGGCTTAGGTGCTGTCCTTGGAGGATGGACCTCGCTCTGGGAAAAGCCTTCCTGATCTGGAGTCATGGAGACACATCTCCAAAGGGTCTGCTG